GAGCTGGTGGACGTCCGCCCCACGATGGGTCACAGCTCAAGATTGAAGTAGCCACAAGTCCATAATTCAGAGAGAGAGTTAGAACTTGGAACAATCTGCCAGAAAGTGGACGGCACCGAGTGTGAGCTCTTTCAAGACCAGATTGACCAATACTGGAGCGGGTTCAGGTAATATCTTGGAGCCGGTGCATGCCCAGTACTGCCAACAGTGTAACAGATATGATCGACCGCCCAAGAGGATAAAGTAATGTAGACCTTTTTTTCTTGTAGCCTTTACTACTCATTTTTAGTTTTTACGAGGATATATTATAATAATATAAATAATATTTTCAACAACATTTTATTATGTACTTTTTGTTTTAAAAATTTTCAGTGACGAAAGAGATGTTTTTCATAGATTAATTTAGGGACTCAATTGGCCCAACTGGAGATGTTTGTTGCAGTAATATGTGAAGCTTTTTAGTTGTGGTTGAACTCAATAATGTATGTTTATTTCTTCCTCTTTACCACTACTCGGCTTGTTAATCTTGCGCGGTCGGTCATGTCTCTATTACACACTGTTGGCAAGTATGTGCACGTACTGGCTCCTGAATGTATCTGTAATTACGCCAGTGTTGGTCAAGGCTATGTTCAGTACTTGTCAACTGCGTAACAGCGACATGACCGACCACCCAAGAGGCTAATACAATTAGAGAGGATGAAGTAAGGTAACTGTGTCAAGCAGGGGCGTCCAAGCTTAAGACCATGTCGTAAGTCCTGTACAAGGTTGTTTCGCAGTAGATGTTCCACCATGGCATCTCTTATAAATGGTCTCTAGTATTTTAGACTGGTGATCAAGCTGACCGGCCTATAGTAATGCAGTGTCAGTGAGTTTGTACTAAAAGAAGCTAAATAGATTGAACTCTTACAAAAGCACAGTATATGCATTCTTTACCATTAGTACCAGATATAAATATTTAGAAGAGTTAGCGTTCGTTTCCTGTTTCTATATCTTGTTAGCGTTTTCTGTGTTAGTAGTTCTTATGAGGGGTGATGTTACACTATGTCAACACTTACTAGTCGTCATTTTTTTCTTGGTTGTTGAGATGAGTTTTATCACTGTCAGGCGGCACTACACCCCCAACGATGTGTTTGTTTTATTATTTTCTGGAGAGCTTCTACTTCCAGTCTTGTTAGTTTCGACAGCACCAGTTTTACCCTTGTGACCGACACTATCCTGGCCGGACTTGCCACCCTCCGCTGCCTTGTCTTCTTGGCACTTACCCTACCTGTGTGTTTACTAGTGGGAGTATCCTTTTAGCACTGTCTTTGTGCAGGAGGTTTGCCAGGTAGTTTCCTCCTGTTGGGCTTGATGGCTGGGTGCACTAGGTCTGAGGGAAGCAGGTTGGACAGCAGTACGTGCAGCGTTAGTGACAGTGATGGCGTCTAAAAGGAAGTTATGTAGTCTCTTCAAGACGGTGGAGTGGCGGCGCGGGGTCCTAGAGGTGGTAGAGAACGCTGATACGCCCTCGCCACGCTGTAGATGTTAACGAGGGCGAGACGGACGCGTGTGAGGTGCGTGTGTGTGTGTGGAGGCTGCCCTGAGGGCAGCAAGCCGCGCCTCCATCTCCCCAGGCACAGAGATGAGGTCCACCCAGTTGAGCGTTCCCGGTACAGCTGCAGGAGTGCTTGACCTCTCGCCCCTTCTCGCTCTGAAGACAAGAAGAATGGCGTCATTATTATTCCCACGACAATACCACTATGTAATCCTTTATTTATTTGTCAGACTTCAATCATAATATCACCGTCACCACCGCCATCAATCATTCATGAAAACACATACGTAAAATAACAGGAACATCTTGTATTACTACAGTTTGTTTATTAATGTTATCAACTTAATCACTCACAACTAATCGGACCCAAAACACTACTACGGTACTAATTAAGACCCCCGTGGACCTGAGACCACTCCTGGCCCTGAAGAACCTGCGGACCTGAGACCACTCCTGGCCCTGAAGAACCTGCGACCTGAGACCACTCCTGGCCCTGAAGAACCTGCGGACCTGAGACCCTCCATGACCCTGAAGAACCCAGGACCTGAGACCACCCATGACCCTAAAGACCTGCGGGACTGAGACCACCCATGACCCTGAAAACCCATTTACCCAGGACCTAACTAAGACTTAACTATCCCCGAACCAACCTCAGACCCGCTATGACTCTATCTACGAACCACTACGGACCAACCTAAAATAAAGACTTTCTACGGACTTAACAAAGACCCAACGTAAGGACACGGACTGCACGAAGACCAGCAGCTGACGACGAGCTTGGTGCAGCTGGTGGAGGGCGTGGTTCACCAGTAGTAGCTCAAGACGCAGTGTCAGCAGGTCACTGGAAGTGGGCCACACACGCCCGTGACCGTGGCTGTCCCTGTTGAATGTGGCCACACTTCTCTACGTACTCCTGGAGGCACCGTGTACAGGAGAAGGTAATGTGTGTGTGTGTGTGTGTGTGTGTGTGTGTGTGTGTGTGTGTGTGTGTGTGTGTGTGTGTGTGTGTGTATGTGTGTGTGTGTGTGTGTGTGTGTGTGTGTGTGTGTGTGTGTGTGTGTGTGTGTGTGTGTGTGTGTGTGTGTGTGTGTGTGTGTGTGTGTGTGTGTGTGTGTGTGTGTGTGTGTGTGTGTGTGTGTTAAATACTCTAGGTGTGTATGAATCAAAATATGCGGGTAATTATGAATATATATGTATTTCTTATGAAATTTTATATGAAGGGCCATGATATATGTCTGTTATTAAAGAGGAACACTTGTGAATGGTTGATCTCTCTATGTGTATAAGTAAAAGTAATTGTTGCACATACAGTACAGTACACAATATACACGAGTGGAGAAAACTTATCACGACACCTTAATTATAAACCATATTTAATAAAACTTGTACACACTGGGACCCTGAAACAGGGAGAGAAACAGATGACTGACCTTGTAACCTCAGATGGGACAGCCTATGACAGTCACTCCATTCCCCCCTTGAGGAACATCCACAATAAGCCCCCTTCATTTTTCCCCGAAAACCATTAAAAACAACGATGAAAATAATAACTGTAAAACGATAATGCTATAACATTTGAATTCATTCATTGAATGACACATAAGTAAAATAAAAAGTCATATTGAAATGAAATAAAGCAAATTTTACCCTGCCAAGGCGAAGTATATAATAGAAACCCCTGAAATATTGCCGTGGGCTCCCTGGTCCCCACATCGGGAACCGATGCTGTACAGTAAGTATGGCCTTGGCTCATAGAGTGAGAGAGACACTAACCTTGTATGTGGAGTAAGTGGCGACCTTGGCGGTGGTGGCAGCAGTAGTCCTCCGTGTGGTGTGGATCAGCTGCTGTAGACGTTCCACTTCCTGCTCCTGCGTGTCTTCTTCCTCCTCCTGACGCTTTAGGAGCTTCTCTCCATCTTCCCTTCGCGCCTCTTGAGCCTGGGGAGAGTAGGGATGGTGTTACTGAGATAAAGATGTAACACTAAGAGCAGCTCATAAACACCTGTCAGAACAATCTCCCACAGTACCTGAAGGACTATAGATGCTCCCATGCCTCTCCCACAGTACCTGAAGGACTATAGATGCTCCCATGCCCCTCCCACAGTACCTGAAGGACTATAGATGCTCCCATGCCTCTCCCACAGTACCTGAAGGGCTATAGATGCTCCCATGCCTCTCCCACAGTACCTGAAGGACTATAGATGCCCCCATGCCCCTCCCACAGTACCTGAAGGACTATAGATGCTCCCATGCCCCTCCCACAGTACCTGAAGGACTATAGATGCTCCCATGCCCCTCCCACAGTACCTGAAGGACTATAGATGCTCCCATGCCCCTCCCACAGTACCTGAAGGACTATAGATGCCCCCATGCCCCTCCCACAGTACCTGAAGGTCGGACTCGTGTATCAGTATGTCGTGGACCAGAGTGGCGTAGCGGCTGTGTGCTCTCTGGCGCTGGTGGTGGATGGTAGTGAGGGCGGCGTTGTAGGCAGTGTGGTGTGAGGCCGCACCTTCACCCCCCGTACTGTACACCCGCGCCACGCTCTCCACGCGACCTCCCCCGACCTCACATATCTGTCTGTGGAGGTAGAGAGATCCTGAGGTCATATGTTATATAGCTTAAGATCCGGTTCCTTAAACGTTCGTGCATTAAACTGACTTAATGTGTGAACTAACCAGCATTACGTGTTAAGTTGTGGTCCCCAACGGAGTGACTAAATCCGTCTTGACCGTAACAGTACCACAACACACGAAGTATCGCTCCCAGCTATAAGAGTTATAACCAGTAACCAGACTGTAGTTGAGCGAGGAGTGTGACCCACGCCTGTATAGTGTGAGTTTGCCATAAGTCACCCCAATTTATCTCAATGCTACTGCAAGGGCTGATCCAGGGGGGGCGGGGGGGGGTCCTGGGGGTCTGGACTCCTTCTTTTCACTAAAAAATCCCAATCTTTTTTCTTTAATACAGTATTGTACTCAGGCATTTTGTATAGTAAAAACTAATTACTATTGACCTCATAATATCTCCTAATATCAAGTGTACATGGCTTCAAAATAGCTTCAAAATACCCATGATATTGGTCAGATTTCACAAACTTTTCTGGGAGGCTTACAGAGCCCCCCCCCCTACAAAAAAGAACGCGCTGTGCTCACCTGTTCCTCCACCCACAACTTCTTGGTCCCCATTTTTTTATATTCCTGGATCCGCCCCTACCGTATATCATAGTACCTCACTCTTCTTACCTGGCTGTCTGTTCTAACTATTTATTCTTGTCTGATTAGGTCTCCATGGGGATACAGTATATAAATATATATATATATATATATATATATATATATATATATATATATATATATATATATATATATATATATATATATATATTAAATAAATAAATAGATGTGCCTATAGGTTGTTTTGTAGACCTGTAATATGTAAGGCCGGTGAGGAGTGGGACTTGTCAGTGTACAGTCCGACTTAAAAGCAATTTGCTTGTAGTTATTTAGAGTCCCGTTGATATCAGTAAGATGACTAAGACTGTCAATAATTGATGTCCATCTGGACGTTCACGTCTCCCATAAAAGTGAGAAAATTATACACATGATTGGTGTACTGTATATGTACAGTGTGATATTTTCAAATTGTCTAATACTGTACAGTAAATTAACCTGGCCCCGTGATCTAGTAATGAAGAATTCTCATTGTGAGTCGCGCTAGAACTGAGGCAGGCTCTTGTGTTAGGCGAGCTCGTACTGATGTGGTCCAGGCGTAGATCTTTACTCTATGGGGTCCAGCTTAAAGACTAGCTAAGGGGCTTGGGGATACCACGCCCGTATAGAGTAATTCCCGCACTCGCCAGTAGAGAGATATATATGAGTCTAGCTTCTAGAAGGTTCTCGAAGGAGGAAGTAATTACCTCTGTAGAATGTCAAGCTGGACAACAGTCAGTGGTGTTTACATTACGTGTATAAATAACCGGCTGGTAAATGATCCCTTTGACCCATGAATCACTTTACTGGCGGTGCCATTATCTATATATATTACTCAACTAAATATCCAACATATTTGACGCATTGCAGGTGTGAAGCAAAGTATCCAATTACCACATATGAGCAATCTATCTAGTGTTTAAAGAAATACCTACTACTGAGAGAGAGTCGCATCATACTGCAACACTCGGATAAGACAACTATAACCGGCCATTACAGGTCATTGAATATTGAATGTTCATAATTATAAATCCATGGTTGTAAGTTATTAATTAATTACTCTAAATAATACAGTATGTAAATTATACTGGTTACAGGTTCATTGTAGTTCCTCATGCTGTAACTGTAGGAAAAATTAACATACAGTATTCACAGACTGCCTCACTCATCTTCTCTTAAATGCCAAGAAACATTAACACTTTACCTAAAAATTATTATGATGGATTTGTTTTAAAATGGGGAAAGACTGATTGTAAACCGAAAAAATCATAATGCGGCCCATGACTGAGGAAAGGTTGCCCAACAATACCCCCATACCTGGTTTATACCATTACAGTATCTTATCATAAAAACTGTAACTCAACACAACAAGACAATGGGTGGTAGATGAAGACAATATCTTGTAATGAGGACATAATATCTCTGAGCTCCGTTAATGATGATAACACAATGCAGTACTTATGATAAAATAATATGTCCTCGATTACAAGTCGCAATTATTTATTCTACAAAATACTAAGACTAATTTACAATATAAAGTAATTTAATTAGCATAGGTAATAAAAAACGTATTATAAGTCATTTTATAACTTTACATAATGCAAATAAAATTCTATAATAAACTGAATTGGGTGAAACATTGTGTGAATGAAAACTTGACTTGACACTTTCACACAGTACATATTTTGTTCTCTACTTGATACTAAACATATTAACTTCAATTTTTATTAACAATATTCATAATTTACGAGGTGTTATATACTTACTCGATAATGGTGTTATCAAGTGGCGTCTTCTTAGCAATAGCATCATCATATACTCGAGTGTAAAAATTCTCTGATTGTTTTTTGTCGCCTTCTTCATATTTCCCTCCTGCTTTTATCCTTGTCTCGGTCTTCTTATTATCCATGGTTGATTATGTTTTAAAATATGTCCATCAAATATAATACACTGTGATTTTTAATATAAGACACTGATCTTCACTCCAAATTGTTTCCTATCAACATTCTCTTATTAACTCTCACTCTTCATTTTCACTCCATTTTTCTTACTATTATATTTATATGTCATATTTCATATCCATTATTAATATATGTTAGTATACTATATTTACCTGTATATCTTAAACACATCACAGGAATTAACCAAATGCTTTCTGTCACTATAGTTATATTACCCACCACCTATATGTTCCCTATATACACTCCACTTATCATCCAGGGTTAAATATTATGAAATATATCCACTCTCATGAGGTATTAGAGGTAAAAAGAGGTATATAATAAGATAAAAGTTAGTGTGATAGTAGACGAGTGTTCACGGCGTCGGGGTGGTTACCATGACAACCAGGGGCCAGAGGCAGTGTGGGAGTGACGTCATCCTCATCATGGCTACCAGAGCGATGTTGTTAAAGAGAGCTGCTGTGTTTTCCCCTTCTATTCAACATTTTCTACACGTCAGGTATAATTAATCGGTTGTATTTAAGTAATTATAAGTATGGGTTGTTTGGTTTATTGTACATAGATTCTAAGTGACGTTCTATTACCTGGTGTGGACAGTAGTCGTCTTGTCGGTGATCAGCTGTTGGGTGGTCGTCTGCCTCAGTTATAAGGTTATTTTATTATTTTATTAGGTGTGATGGTGAGGTAGAGGAGTGACATTCTTTACCAGGGGGCAAAAAGGAGGAAATAGCCGCGTGGTAAAAGGTTGATGAGGATAATTTAATACCAAGGCCGTAGGGTAGTGTTGACTCCTATTTTAGCAGCAGTTTTTGGCACCAGTATTCTCTCTACTTGTTACTGCTATCATTCTCTAATAATAACAATGATAATTTTAGTCTTGTAACTGAAAGAATGACGTGATTACAGGTGTATTAGTTACAGGTATTGTTGATTACATGATACAGGTACAGTGGCAGGTGTGTTAAGTAATTGTTCCTTGTACCATTACTGCTTACTAGTTTCTAAGATGGAATTATGTAAAGCAATTTAGTATCGATACATATATGTGAGACTGAGTGTATTTTAAAATTTTGCTTAAATAACTAAACACCATTCTCCTGGCACCTGCCAGATGTTACATGGTGCAAAAAATTCATCCACTCGTCAGTTAGAATCGAAGTGACATCCACAGCCAGACCCCCAAGTAGAGGGACAGTTCACAGGTCGTGTTAGTCAGACTCGGTCACTACGGAGGCAACAGTCATCCACAGCTGAAGGACCTTTATAGCTGCTGGAATGGAGCTACTGAAGTGTTTCTCATCATTATGTGACTTATCTTTCAAGCTTAACACCCCTATACCTGCATCTCCTGCTTGTGAGCGTGTGTTTGGTCATGTTGGGCTTTTTATTTATTTAATTCATTTATTACACCTCAGGGGGCGACAAGCCTAGTCACAAGACCATGCTCTCAGACACTGACACATTGGTACTCGTGTCTCGCTGTGACTTGTGATACGGTGACAATATTGATATGATTTAAGGCCAATGGGAGTTAACACCCACTAAAGTGTGGGTAGTGTACAAGAATTAAATCTAAATTATTACAAATAAGTAGGTGGTGACACAGTGGTTAGTGACCCTCCCTGTAGTAGGAGGTCCCTGACAGTGGGATAGTCAAGACAATGGTGTTGAAGGGTTGGGACAGCTACAGAGTTTACAGGAAGAGAAGTGCAGGTCATCCCCCGCCTCAGATACTTGCCAGATAGGTCTGTATCCTAACTATATGTGAGCAGAAACACTTCATCATGTCTTCTAGCATTAATCTACTGTAGTTTCCTGTACAGTATATACTACTCTACTATTATTACTATGATGGTTGATGCCACACACCGATGATAATGTCATGCTGTACTGAACTAATCTAGTGGACAGATTTGTAAATGATTGTGATGATCAGATGACCAACAGACATCCACTACATGCAAGGATGGAGAGTGTTCGTCTTTGAATGAATTCAAATATACTGTACAGGACTTCAGGGTATTCGTATTGGAATACAGGCCCATCAAATTCGTGGGGTTAGGTTCTCAAAATGGCCACGAATCGCCAAATCCAAGAATAACATTTGCTGACCAAATGGGGGGGGGGGGTACATTTTTACTTGTGTACAAAGAAATGTCTACAGCTTCTCCCCGACTTATGATGGGGTTAGGGACCCAAATCCAGGTCGTAAGTCGAAAATGCTTAAATAATACATAGAAAATCTAAAATGGGTGTCTCTTTTTCTTCTCAGCACCACAAAACTCTCACTTTTAAGCTTGCCAGCCATTTTAAAGTGAATTACATTTTTTTTTGTCAGTACACAGCGCAATCATTGATGTTTGGACACGAAAATACGTAATTTGACAAAATTTTGGTACGACTGAGGCAGGTTGTAAGTGCGGGTGGTCGTAAGTCAAGTACCGTAGGTCATAAGTCGGGGAGGAGCTGTATTCCCTTTGTGTGTTTGCCCTGAGGACAATTATTTCCTTAACTTGTATTGTACACAGGTATGTGTGTGTGTGTAGATGTACACAACACATACAAATACTGTAAATAATATTGTAATGGGAAAATTCTTACAAATAATCAGAAACAAGTTTATTAAAATGTGACAGTCTCCCCTCAAGTCTACTCCATGCTTTGTTATTAATAAAGCACAGAGTAGACTTGAGGGGAGACTCACATTTTAATAAACTTGTTTCTGATTATTTGTAAGAATTTTCCCATTACAATATTATTTACAGTATTTGTATGTGTTTTGTGTGTGTCTACACACATACATATATATAATACAGATAAAGGAAATTCCTGTCTCTAGAACGAATAGCTCTGTGTCCCGGCCACAAAAATGCCAGCAACTTTAAAACTACCCACAGACATTCTTGGGTACATCCAGGGTGTCATCTGCGAATAATAGAGGACTGTGAAATAAAAATCCGCGAATTATCCGGGCGCACTGTACCATTAGAAATCCAAGTACAGTAGTACCCCGCTTAACGCGGTCAATAAAACCCACAGGGTACCGTGTTAAGTGAAAACCGCGCTAAGTGAACAACAGAACATATGGGATTAATTCCAATAGAAACTGGCCCGACCCCACCCCCAAACTCCACTTTTTGACGACACACAACTATGTTGTAGTAAAAATTTTATCTTAACTTTATGATGGTATGAACAAACAAGTAATATAGAAGAGGTTAGGTTAGGAAAAATAATGGTTAGGTTAGGAAAACTAAAAGTTAGGTGTAACACTTACGTTAGTAGAAGACACACACTGCGCAACCTTACAGTGCGGCTTGCCCAGGTGGAGGGAGGCGGGAGGGAGGGAGGAGGAGGGAGAGGCGAGAGCAGGCAGGCAGGCGGGTGGGGGGAATCTAAAAATAGCGTCTCGAGCCGGACACTCACCGCGTATACGTGGAAAAAACCCGCGTTGAGTGAAAGTTCGGCTCTGGCGAGGCACCGCGTATACGGTAAAACGCGCTAAGCGATACCGCGTTAAGCGGGGTATTACTGTACAGTACATTTTCATTCTTATTCAAATCCTTGGGCAAAGTATTCATATTTTTAAGATAATCTGAAAAATAATAATCATTTTATGGATAGAAATAACCATACATTTGGTTGCTGAATTTATTTTGGATGAACAGAGAGAGAGAGAGAGAGAGAGAGATTGAGAGAGTTTTTTGGATCTTCAATTGGTTTACTAAATCTGTGAACCTGAGTCACCTGAGAAGCTATACCGTATATCATTCAATGAAATTAATTATTTAAATAATTAGTAAATACTGTAATACGGAACTCTCAACAGTTATCGATGTGGTGAGTTAGCAACTGGTGACGCGGTCATGTCGTGTAAGAAGTATGCCCATATGATGTCAAATTGGATTTAAATATACAGTATAAAAGTAATACTGTACCTCCGTTGGCCGGAGAAAATTTCAAGAAAATCTCTCTAAATCTTTCCGTTCCAGGCCTCGGAATAAATTTTTAGAGAGTTCTAAAAGATTGCATCATGTTCCAACACATCCCCACGTGCCGGGCACTTGGGTGGCCCAGCTGCTTGGATTGCTTAGTTCATATTCTGTTGCCATTTTCAAAGCTGTTCCCTCGCTAGCTTCTGTAGTATAGATTATTATGTTTACAGTATTAACAATATATTGTACGTGTACAGTGGTGTTTGTGTAAATAAATACAGCTCTGTGCTAAATGTGTCGTTAGTCTCTGGAAAACTTTCCCCGTATGAAGAGTGGAAAGTCCCACGGCTCCGTTCTCACCTGTATCATATATTTTTTGTTTTTTTAAATATCTTTATTTAATCAAGTTTTAGATAAATTATTCAGGATTATTTTGTATGTAACTTACCGTATTTGCCGGCATATAAGATGCATAATAATAATAATTAAATTGCTTGGCAGCCAGAAGGCTGAAAATATACAGTTACATATTTGGGGAATGGGTTACGAATTACAAATAATATACAAGTGACATAAGTGACACAAATAAGACATATAGTAACTTAGATGGGGATCAGCTCAAACTACAGTTCATTTCAACATAGTGACAGTGTAGGGAGCAGTGTTTACTGGGAGTGAATACACTGATTTATTACATGTTATTGATAATTTTTACAATGGTTGGGATTGGGCTGTTCTTATAGCGATCAGTTCGTGCACGTATGGGCTGGATGCGGTTGTGGTGTCGAACAGCAATTCTCGGACAGGGGATCTCAGGTGGTAGTAGGGGCCGGTGTCGGGGGTGGTGTAGAAGCTTCTTACCAAATTTGCAGATGAGGCCGTGGTGATGGTCAGTGAGAGTCGAAAGGGTCAGTGTGTTGAGCGCTTCTTGATATGTGGAGTAGGAAGGGGAGAGAATAATCTTGCATGCCCTCTTTTGCACTTTTTCTAGGTGTTTACGTTGTGTGGCATTTAGGGAGGAAGACCAGGTGGGGGAGGCATAGGTGAGCTTGGGAAGTATGAATGTTGTGTATACACTGAGGAGCTCGTGTGCGGGAACTCCGAGGGACTTGAGTCGGCGGAGGAGGTGGAGACGGAAACTGGAGGATTTGACAACTTCACTGACGTGTGGTTTCCAATTTAGTTTGTTGTCTATGGTGACGCCGAGGAGCTTCGGAATCTACAACCTGGAGTGTGTTCGGACCTAGGGTAATGGAAGGAGGTGGGACAATGTCGGAGGAGAGGTTGATGTGCATTACCCTGCGCCCGTATTATGGATGGGAGGCTGAGCGCTGTAGGTGCCTAGCTAGGGGGTCTGGGATGAGCAGTAGTCCACTAAGCACAAAAATTGTGTAACTAATAATATTACAAGTAATAGAATACTGAAAAAAAGCCAAATTATCACAATCTATTATCACAAACTTGCGACAAATTTGCCTAAGACGTAAATAATGGCTTAACAGCAGAGGGAAGCTCACAACGTCTCACTGTACCTCCTTCCCCAGCATATGTAACCCATCCCAGATACATGTCTTACATTATTTAATGACTGTATTACCTTTAAGAAACATTTGTTTATTATCTAAATGAAAAATGCCCCTAGAAAGATTAAAGAAATGTTAACAAAGTTCAGCCGCCAGTCAGCCATTTGCAATGAGTCGATGACGCCAAAACAATAGAGATGGTGCTACACCCTGGTGGTAGATCGCGGCAACACAAAACATCACAGACAAAAATACGAGTTTCACATCCTGTCGGTAATTCTCTTGACCAAAATATAAACAAGCCACACAGCTGCTCTGATCAGAGGTAGAGTTGGGTTAGTGTAATGTGACTATACTGCATATAATTTCCTACTTGATTCCAGTATATATTGTATTTACATGCACAAAATCATATGCTTTCCCCCACAAAACCACTTTAAAGTCACTTTCAATAAGTGTATGATGAAACACTAAAAAAATCCACAAAATATCCTTGTAAATTAGGGGTGCGTCTTATATGCCGGCAAATACGGTAATTAGAACTGATTTTATTGACTCGGGTATCAACAAAGAGACGATGTGTGATGACTTGTCAGATTTTCTGGAGGTTTATTTATGGTAATTAATTCATTTCTTCGTGTACAAAGCCTGTAGACATCATTTTAGGGTCGTGATCATTTTTTCACTGTGTTTTACTCCACAATTTCCCTCAATCCTTCATGCCCCGCTCACTACAGCTGATTTATGATCATAGATGGAGAGAACTAAATGAAAAATATACATACAGGACTTATAATTAAAATAAAAAGTTGTCACCTCTTATAAAACATTTACTATAATGATAAGAATGTTTGGAAAAATGAATGAAATTGAACAGCTCCTTCTGGTGGCAGCGGTGTCCTCATAAATTACCATTAATACCTGTACCCTTCATATACAATACTGTATGTATCTCAGGTGAAAAAAATGTAATCAGGAACACCATCTCCACATATACAATTGTACCAAATTCATTTCTGTATCACAGTTAGAACAGATGTTGAGAATAAAAGTTTGTACGTTTTTTTTTTCTAACAGCCTCGTGCCTCAAAAATACCTGAGTTTTTGTCTTTATACAAGATATCTTCAGGTCCTGAGACCCACTTATCCCCCACAGCTCCGTGAAAATGTACCAGTCCTCACTGTGACAGCTTCATTCACGCTCATATATAGATTTTCAGTTTTTTTAATATATTTATTTAACCAAACTTTTAGATAAACTATTCTGGATTATTCTAGTAATGAAATGGTTGATTGATTAATTGTGTATAATGTAGTTAACCCGTAGCTTGTTTTTATCATATTTATTTGCACTTGTTTGAGAATGTTTTGAAGTTGTAACTGATCTTTTCCTTGCAGATGTGTGTCAACAACAGGATGTACCAGTCAAAAGGACAGTTGGCTGAACAAGCTTTTGGTTCGGAAAATCGAGCCCACCAAAGAATCACACTCCCGCATGTTGTCTGACAAAGAGGTCATATTTGAATTACAGACCCATAACCTCAAACCTGGCACTGGTGAACAATACCTCAAAAACTAGTGAGTGTTTTATAGTTTTTTCTCTCTAGAATAGCTCTAGATAGTAGATTTTCGGTCAATGTCAGACAAAAGTTCAGGGTCAGAGGTCATCAGTGAACCTTATGTAATAATGTGTGTTGTGTTTCAATGTCTACAGAACACAGCCTTATGTAAGGTGAACTCTCCTAGACCCTGCAATATTTCTTAACCCCTTCACTAAGGAGATGCCACTTGTAATATTTTGTTTGGCTGATACCAGAAAATTATATACAGTATACAGTAAACTCTCCAGTTTGGCGACTATTTGTTGCCGAAAAAACCTCGCTAAACCAGAGGGCTTAATCCAATGGGAAAAGCCTAATTGGTACTGAGGGGCCAGCCAAAGTCTCAATTTTTCCTATTTTACCCACATATAACTTATATTTTATTGCTGAAAGAGAATGAATAATTAGTTAATCAACATAAACATAGAAAACCAACTTTAAAATTAAAGTTGAGGAGCTTAATGTACACTAAGCTGGTATCCGAAGCTGGGGAAGGAAGGATAATGTCCGTTGCCCCCCCCCCCTCCTCCACCACTGCCTCCGCCACCACCACTAGATCAAAGCCTTCAAAATAAAAGTCCTCCGGCAGGCTAGCTAGGTTGAGACGATCTTCTTCCCCTTCATCTTCCACCTCTACACGTTCAATTGCTTCAATCACTTGCCTATTTTCTTCTTGTTTGCGGCTCAAATAACGAGTGATCAGATCTTGTTTGTTGTCATTTACTTTCTTGTTATAATTTTCTTGGTAGTGACCTCGTATTTTATTAAGCAAACACATCATCATCTCACGGGCATCGTAGTTTGGCTCGACCAAAGACATCTGCTCTTCGAGGTTGTCACACATGCCTAGGAACATGGACAGATCACGAGTTGTTGGCTCCGTCGGTTGTTGCACTATTTGTGGGGGCGTTTCTTGCTGAACTTGATTTTCTTCTCCCAGCATCTCCTCATTGCTTTCTGTAGCCTTATCTGTGCCTGAAAGTCCGTTAATTTGGTCCTCGTTCATGCTGTTGAAGCCAGGGGCCGAGATACTTTGGACTGACTGAACTGTCACCCGTAAGAGATCTTCCCGTCACTGGCGGCTATCCTGTGACTTGGCAAGATGAGGGAGTAACGGAATCCAGGCGTGGTGAACTGTTGCTTTCGTTATCTGGTTCCAGGCTGACACCAGATAATTGTCTGCCTCACAAATATTGAATTTTTTCCAAAAGGCCTCGACAGTCACAGCTTCTGCCTGTTCATCCAAGAGAGAGGGTGGGGGGAGGGTAAGGGTGCGTCGTGTGCCTCGCTACCACTTTCCCTTTCTATCTCTCTCATTTCATCCTGTGTGTCAGTCTGCCTCCTTAACCGGTCGGTCATGCACTTGTTTATAAAATATCAACTTTACATTGGCTATGATCTCTTGGTCAAGGGGTTGGATTTGGAGGCAAAAAGCACACCTGTACATTTGGATGGCGGCCTACAAGATACAGTAAATATTACGAATTATGCAATAAAGTCCATCAGCATATAGCCTCAGGGTATATACAGGTAAAGAAATTTACTGTGTCTACAACAAATGACTCCCTGTTCTGGCTGCGAAAATGCCGGCAACTTTAAAACTACCCGCAGACATTCTTGGGTACATTCAGGGTGTCATCCGTGAATAATAGAGGACCGTGAAATAAAAATCCGCAAATTATCCGGGCGCACTGTACTGTAATTCAGCTCTGTGAAAACCTTTCCTGCTTGGTTGATGGGTTGACATCACTAATGCACCTGATGAGCAAATCTTGGTCTCTCTTGTTTCCTTTATTTGGATGTTGATTATCAGAAAATATTTGAGAGTTTTGTCTCAATACACAAATAAAAAGTCACAACAACACAAATCAACACCACAAGTGGGCCGTGTAATAAATTATTGAATGTTGAAATGTTAGTGTTGCATCTTTAACAAAAAAAATTATAGAAATGATAGTAAGCACAATGTTTATATACAGTGAGTAAGTATTCCTTGTCACTGGATACAAGAATAAATGTTCATATAGTAGAGGCGATTGTAGACTTTGTTCTAAATATTGTTGATTTTAATTAATATTTTTTTTTCCTTTTAGTGAAGAGTATGTAAAAGGTGTTACTGACAAGTTTGCAGACAAGGCCTATCACCCAGAACTGCAAGGGTCATGGACTGTTGGGGTGGGGGACCAGGACCAGTGTCTTCACCTATGGAAGTACGCTGGAGGTTATGGTGCTATAGATGCTGCTAATGACATGTATGCTACAGACCCAGTGAGTAGTGGTTTTATACATGTTTATATTACAGTCGTGTTGCATCTTACGCGCATTTACCTTTAGGGGAAAAAAGACTCGGCGAAGGTGGGAACGTATGGCTGCGTGAGATACTTCCACCCACACCTTTTTCGGCCTCAGTTGCCGAAGTATACTTAGCAGGGGTGAGGGTTTGGGTTGTGTGCCTCTGCCAACTGACCCTAAGCAACAATTGCTAAGTGGTTGGTCAGCAGAGGCAGCACATCCCAGCTCAGCTGTGATCCAGTGTGTGCACTATCCTGTATAAATTTTGCTTTTTTTATGGTTTCATTATTTTATCTAAATATTCTCTGCTGAAATTAACCTGACAATCATTGACAAAGAGGATAAAGTAAACCTACAGCAGAGGTTATTGGGTGGTGTGGATTTAAACTGAAATTGGCCTAACCATCTGGGTCGCCAGATGCACTCTTGACAAACTGCCCACTGCTTCCACACTTATGATCACCTCACACACAGAATACACACCCGTGATCTTCATATTTATTATTTTATAGTTTTATATTATATTTTCTTTATTTCCAAGTCATATTAGAGTATATAAATTATTTTTCCACTACTTTTATAATTTCATTATACAGTATATAAAAATGTCACCATGTATTACCATCTCTTGCAGGCCACAGCTGACTCCTGGCGCACGTCACAGAAAAACAGACGTCTTTAACAATTATTCAACTTTATATAAATGATGTGGCTTAGAAGTAAAGAAAATATAATATAAAATTATAGAATAAGAAAAATTAAGAGCATGGGCGTATATGTGTGAGAAGTGAACGTGTATGGAGGCGGTTCTAGCCAGGGCTTTGGCTATAAACTACGTGGCCGACTAGCCAGCCCAGCCACCTTGTATGAAACTATAAAAATTGTGAAAAAAATCACAACATTATTCTAATGTGGCTTAGAATTATGGGAAGGAAATGTAATATAAAACTTTAAAATAACAAAAATAAAGAGCACATGTGGGAAGTAAATGTGTTATGAGGTGGGGGGTTACTGGGCTTTAAATGCACGATGTGACGTCACGGCATACTGACCCACCACGGCAGCCGCCACGCATCTGTGAGTCGGCTGAGCTGGGTGATTGCCTGCACTGTGTTGTGAGCTGGAAGTGTGGGAGGTATGTGTGTGTAAGAACTTATTCCTTGTACATAAAATAATATATACTGTACCAGTAAATGAGAGGAATAAAAAAAACGATAACAGAAAAAAAATACTGCATTTCCATTTAGCTGGAGATGGTGATAGCTGGGCAGTGAGTGAAGAAACGCCAGCTATAGCTCTCTACCTCCCTCCCTCAATGCTTGCTTCTACACACTTGACGATTAATTTCATTCTCTATATTTTTGACCTTATGATAATTATTTTCTAAAATTTGGCACACTGTGTGATGCACATTTAAACTGAAGTAGGCCTAACCAGCTGAGTGACCAGATGCCCTATTGACAGGTACATATAACCATGTACTTTATGGGTGATTTAAGAGATTCTCAGGGTAACTTTTGCTCCGTGTTTTTGGGCTTTACAGAATGTAGTCCGGGCGTAAGATGAGGGACGACTGTATGAGATTTAGTTGCAACTGTTATTGTAACTTGTATTAAATGTTGTGTAGTTTTTCTTGTGATCCTCTCTCACTTGGCTATGAATTACTCTAGCTGGCCTGCTGGTATAGTGTGAGAATCTATGAATTCATAATTGCTAAAAGCTTTGACTGGAAAGAATATGACCATTATTGATGATGATAATAATAGCTGGTCTTTTGTCTCTTAAAAGCGCTGTTTTAACTCTGTATTCTTGGCTGACTTTGTTCTGGTACAATAATGTACAGAACTGAACAACACAAATTGTACACAAACAGCAGCTAGTGAGGGAACAAGCTTCTACAATGGCACCAGGATGTGAACTAACTGATCCAAGCAGCTGGGCCACCCAAGTGCCTGCATGTAGGGATGTGTTGGAGCATGATGCAATTTTTTTCAGAATTTTTCTTGGAATTCACAGAAAGTGCTCCTGATTTTCAACCATGGAATTTGTTCCCAAACCCGGAATTCAGATAAATTTCCGGAAAAATTCCTAGCAAATTTCAATTCCGGCTATTGGAGAGTTCTGTTTAAGAATATCTTAGTGTTAACGTCTTGTAGAGAATTTATTAAGGATCATTATGGTATCAAATTCATCTCCCTAACACAATTAGCCACACTAGAGTGAGGAAGGGGAGAAAACTAACCGCCCCTCACCCCCCAAAAAGGTTCACCTCACCCACCTATCCTCCAACTCTCTCATCCCACATCACCCACATTGTGCTACACCACCCCTACATCACCCCCACACACTCTCCAACACCTCCCTTACTCCACATCACCCACACCAACCAACTTCACACACCAACCAACTTCACACACCAACCAACTTCACACACACACACACACACACACACACACACACACACACACACACAATAACCATCCATCCACACACACACACACACACACACACACTACTACTACATTGCTGTCACACGGAATCAAGTATGACGATCATCCAGCTATGAGACAATTTTTTTTATATTAATATTTACACGGTGAATAGCCCACCTGGGCACAGGTCATCGACCCACAACGGGGCCTGGGGGAAATATGAGTAAAAAGAAATTTAAAATAGAAAGTAAAAAGATTATACCGGTACACCACAGATTATCCGGGAACTGATGGTCCAGCACCTCCTGTAGTCCGGACAAAATTATGAGAGGGCACTTAACTTCCCTCCCAGACTGGGTGAAGGTAGTTTTAGGCTTAAACTTTTTATCTTATAAAATATAGCTGACTAGACTTAACAGAGCATAACTCACAGTACTGGAATCCTTGTAAGATAGTGATTAATTGGGGTATAAATATCACATAGTTTGCACAATGGATGAACATTTTAGTCTAGTGTAGTACATTTGAGTACAGTGTGTGTACAGTATTGTTGCTCAAAATTATGTTTTTTTTTTTCACATTTAATTTGCATTTAATATTTGTTTTATTTAAGTTTTTAGCAGTCCATGGTGCTTTAGGGACACAGGAGGTGTATAAGTAGTGGGTCAGAGGTGTATTGTTGACTTATTATTACCTGACCTCGGTTGGTCCGGCAAAACGGATAATTCAGCAAGGCTTTGGAACCAAGGGTGCCGGAAAATAGTTGGTGTACCTGTATTAATCTACACCACGAAGATGCCGGAAAACCAGTTTTTTGAATGAGACATATTGTATGAGTATGGAAACACAGAAGAAGGTAGAGCATTCTACAGTTTGGCTGTTATTCTAGTGTGACCGACATCCACAGAGAAACGGTGGGCACCTCGGGCAAGACGTGTGTTACGAGCCCACGGCCTTGTCGGCAGTACACAGGATGCCAAATCCACCAAACTTTGCCTGTTAAAGTACCTGTAAAAGAGAGAGTGAAGCAACATTGTGGCGAAGAGAAAGGGAAGAGAGATTATCAACTAAGGAGGAGAGTTAATAAAATTAAATGCCTTTGATTCCACCCTATCTAACAGTTGGACAGAAGAAGAGCCACCCCAGATATGAGAGCAGTACTCCAAGTTAGGACGAATGAATCCCTTATAAACTTGAAGCAACTGCTCAGGAGTGAAGTAGCTACGGCATCTTTACAGCATTCCCAACTTTCGGGAGGCAGCTTTAGCAATGTTGTGGATGTGTGATTTCCAGGTCATATTGGAGGAAATGGCGAGGCCTAGCATATCTACTTTAGAACTTGTCAGAATGATTGCATCCTGAAATGTGATTGGTGGGAGATCATCTAATTTGGAAAGTGCAATTGGTAAATAGTGAGTTTTACCACAATTGAATTTAACTAAGTTTCTACCTCCCCCTTCAGAGATGCTGCACAGATCTGTATTGATAGATGAAATTATATCAGCTCTAGAAACAGATCTAGTTTGAGAATTAGGGAGAAGAGGAAAATGTGAAGAAGAGTGAAGAGTAGAATCATCAGTGTAGGAATGGATAGAATTAGTCGTAGTGTGAAGTAAATCATTGATAAAAAGAAAGAAGAGAGTAGGTGGAAGAACAGAACCCTGTGGGACGCTACTACTGGTAGAGAAAGAGCGAGAGATTGATCCCTCGACAACAACTGCCATGAATCGGTTTTCAAGGAAGTTAGAATTAGAGAACAAAGTGGGGGAGAGAAACCATAAGAGGGAAGTTTAGAAAGCAAAGACTTGTGCTATATCCTGTCAGATGATTTGGAGATGTCGAGGGCCACGACAAAAGTTTCCCCATAATACCTAAGAGAAGATGACCAATGATGGGTGCAGTCGGAGAGCAGATCACCAATAGATCTCGCCTGGTGAAAGCCATACTGGTGATCCGACAAAAGAGAAAGGCGTTCAAGGTGACGGAGAAAACGAAAGTTTAAGATAGTTTTGAAAATCTTAGAGAGGGATGAAGGTAGGGCAATGGGGCGATAGTTAGAGGGATTACAAGGTCACCCTTCTTCGGGATGGGCTGAACCAAGGCATGCTTCCAAGAAGAGGGAAAAGTTTGGGTTTTGAGTCAAAGGCGAAAGAAGCGAGCAAGCACGGGCTAGAGTTTTAGCGCACACTCTCAGAACACGAGGGGGTATTCCGTCCGGTCCATGTGCCTTACTCACATCCAACTTGGATAACACACCAGCAACCTTATGGGTGGAGTAGGAGGGATAGAGTTGGAATGGTCTAAGGTGGAGTTAGAGGAGAATAAGGTGCCAAAGAGATTGGCTTTATCAGGGGGAGAGTTGGCTGTAGAGTTTAAAGTTATCAGGTTGGAAGAGGAGGAAAAGAGGGAAGAAGTTATTACAGATGTTTTTGGTTAAGGACTTGACAGATTTGCTAGAAGTAGAGTTAGTCAGGTCAGCTGTCTTTTCTTTTTATAAAATTCCGCTTGGCCCTACGAAGAATAGCCTGACAACGATTCCTCCATAAATTCAAAAGAGGTAAAAACAAGAGTCACTACTAATCAGTCTAATGTTGAGCAAGACCACAGAACAGATCAGTGCCACTCCACCACCTGCAGCAGGTCTGGGAACATGAACAGCACCACTCCACCACCTGCAGCAGGTCTGGGAACATGAACAGCACCACTCCACCACCTGCAGCAGGTCTGGGAACATGAACAGCACCACTCCACCACCTGCAGCAGGTCTGGGAACATGAACAGCACCACTCCACCACCTGCAGCAGGTCTGGGAACATGAACAGCACCACTCCACCACCTGCAGCAGGTCTGGGAACATGAACAGCACCACTCCACCACCTGCAGCAGGTCTGGGAACATGAACAGCACCACTCCACCACCTGCAGCAGGTCTGGGAACATGAACAGCACCACTCCACCACCTGCAGCAGGTCTGGGAACATGAACAGCACCACTCCCACCACCTGCAGCAGGTCTGGGAACATGAACAGCACACTCCACACCTGCAGCAGGTCTGGGAACATGACCACCTGCAGGTCATGAACAGCACCACTCCACCACCTGCAGCAGGTCTGGGAACATGAACAGCACTACTCCACCACCTGCAGCAGGTCTGGGAACATGAACAGCACTACTCACCACCTGCAGCAGGTCTGGGGAACATGAACAGCACTCCACCACCTGCAGCAGGTCTGGGAACATGAACAGCACCACTCCACCACCTGCAGCAGGTCTGGGAACATGAACAGCACCACTCCACCACCTGCAGCAGGTCTGGGAACATGAACAGCACCACTCCACCACCTGCAGCAGGTCTGGGAACATGAACAAGAGACTGTGTCTTGGGAAGAGCACTATGAATAATGTTGATGTCTGATACATACAAACATGTTCCAGTTACACAGAGAATATCCAAGCTGAACTCCCTTAAAAACTCATTAACATGACCATTTTGTTCCAGATCACATGGATATTAAGCAAACCTATTTTAATATGCTCAAGGAGGGCACTAAATTTTTTTTGAACAAGTAAAGTTTTCAATTACTTTTTAACTTTGGGAAATCATCATGGGGCAATTTTTACGTGATGCAAAATGACTGACTGACTCCAATGATAACAAAATAGAAAACATTAAGCCTAAAGTGTAATTGCAGAAAGATTAGAGTTAATATGAATAGTTAAAATAGTTAAGAATTTACTCTTTTTTTTTTAATAGATTTTGTCTCCCCCAGGACTTGTCAAAACTGATACAGGATAGAAATCCATTTTTACGGCAACGCTCGAATCAGTTCCTGCTACCCTTCAGCTTCTGGCCACCGGTCTCTCCACGCGAGGGGGGAAACATCTATGAGATCAGATCATATTTCCTCAAGGTTAGGTGGTCACTTGAGCCTCCTCTCTCCCAGCTTATTTCACCTGATGATTAAGCATCCTAATGCCATCTGGGAGAGTTGGGTTAAGTTAGTGTTTGTGTGGTTAATGAGCTAGGATAGTTAATCTTCTTCAGATTTGTCTTCTTTTTTTTTTCAAGCTAAATGTTCCTTTTTTTATGCTTCCAAACTTTTATACATATGAATTAGCTCTTTAGGTTTTTGTTATTAATAATGAGTGTCAACCCTTGATGCCCTGTACTTGTTACTCATTTCCACTAATCAAATATCCCAACTTGTCATCACAGTATTCTTTCTACTCATATCTCAATACCTTCTCAGCTGTAATTTTAGCTAAAAAAAATTTCACTTTTAAAATTTTTGATTAAATACATTTTCCCCTTCCTTTCTCTCCCATCTCTCCACCTGGCAGCCAGGCACCATGATAGAGTGGGGAAACAACTGGTCGAGAGCCATTCATTTTCGCCAGGCAAACAATGAGGCTTTTGGGGGGTTCTTCTCACAGGTTGGCCGCCTCTACAATGTGCATCACATCTGGTGTAAGTACTGTACCTACCTGTACTGGATTTGGTCTTGCCAACACAAGATGCTTTTTCCACATTAATAGTGTGTTTAGACTTTTTTCTGGTCTTGCCAATATTTTTTTTTATTTTTTTGTTGACATACAGTATTTGTTGTGACTCGACAGAAATGGTGTTTGGAGATACTTGAGGTGCAGTTACTTACATAAGTGTTTCTTTTTTTATTTAATTCCATTGGGCATGTTTTGAGTGTAAACTAACCTCCCCTTCTGGTTCTGTGTTAGCAAAAAGAAGAGCAAATAACAGTGGTGTGTTAGTGTGAATGTAAACAGTGGTAAGGGATTAACTTTATCTATGATGACTAAAAGGTATTAGAATGTCCATTTTTGGTAAAACAAACCTGAAGGACAAAGTAGAGGGGAGTGGGACTTGAGGGCTGAGGAATATCCGAAATGGTACAGACAAAAGGAGTTGCTGTGTTGTTGATTGAAATATAGACTGAAGTAAAAATAAAATAATGCAACTAAGTAGGGAATGGTGATGTGATTGTTAATATAGATGGACATAAAATAGAAGAAGTGCTATGTGTCAGACATGTAGGAGTGGGTGTACCCGTAAAAGGATCGGCTAGAGATGAATTGAATCACAGAGTAGCGGATGGAAAGGTAGAGATGTGCCTCAAATGATTGTTTTAGGAGTTATTAAAGCAACATTACTCTATTGATGTGAAGTATAGACTCAATCCAAGAGGAAGAAGTAATATATATGCAGAGAATAAGAAGTACAAGTAATATATCCATTAGCCAGAATCCCTCAAACCCGGAACTCTCCTATAGTCGGAATTGCAATTTTCTCGGAAAGTTTTTCCCGATGCCTGGAAAATTCTGAGGATGGAACAGTTTTTTTTTCCAGGTTTGAGAGATGAAAATAAGGCACATTTTCCGGAAATTGTGAGAACAATTTTCGGGTACCTGGAAAATTCCGGGGATGAGGGATATTTTTCCGGGTTTGAGAGAGTCGTCTAATTACCTGGAAATCTCTCCTTCCCGGAAGTGCTCTGCACCGATTGTTCCGGCTATCGGAGATATCACTATTCCGGCTAACGGAGATATCACTGTTCCGAAATTAGTGACAGAGGTATGAGGGAGCTGACCAGGGTTTGTTGAGGTTGTATAGAGAATGGAAAGTGAGAGGTTGACTAAAAGAGTTTATGAGGAAGATGGTGAGAGAAGACCAAGAAGGGAGTGGGAGGTCACAACAAATGAAGGAGCAGTAGTGTGTAAATAACCAGTGAATATAAAACTTAAGTGGACTTTGGGAAAAGCTGTGTTGGCTTGTGGGAAGCACTCAAGGTTAAACCAGATGGACATCAGGGTACCATAGTAAAACACATGTGGTACAGCAGCAAGACTGAATGTGTGACAACAAATGAAGGAAAGTGTGTGTGGCTTTCTTATTCTTCCTTACTTCCTTCCTTCTATATGTATATATATATATATACAGTGGTCCCTCGGTTAACGAGCACAATTCGTTCCAGAAGGTTGCTCGTTAACCGAAAAATTGGTTAATCGAAACCATTGTTTCAATGGGTTTTTGGGTACAAGTAATTGGTTCCAGCTCACCGAAAATTACATACAAACGAAAAATAAATGCAGTAAAGTACACTCACTTTGAGGTGTGCATGTAGAAGGCTCCTGGTTGTTGATGATGGGAATTACAATGGGGGTGGAGGAGAAGGGAGAAGAGAAGGCATTGGGGTGGAAGAGTCACCCCAAGCTGCCATTTCACCCATAAAATTTAAGCTCACTTGGTGTAATTCAAGATTATTTTCTTTAAATCAACACTGCACTGCGCTATATATTATCAATATGTAAAATATATTTCACAATAACCAATAATTTGACTGGAAACACAGAAAAAAAGTTTATGTTGAAGAGTCTCAAACAAGATGTTCCTTCCTCTGAACCTGTAAACAAACTGACGCCAAGCTTGGTGTGTTGAGTGGCTGTTTGGCGCGCATAAAACTAGTTTCCTATACTTCAGTTATGTTCAATAATTGTTAAAATGACTAAAAAATTTAATAAAACTTTTAAAATGATTGAATAGTACAACCTTCTTGATGTTTACTAAAATGGTAAGGAATTTAAGCCCTAGAACCGATTACTTATTGGCGGACTAATACAACAGCTAGTGAGCAAGCGATAACATGTTGAGGGGCGTTCGTAAGGAATTCGTTAATCGAGGTATTGCTCGTTAACCGAAGTGAAGAATCTTATGGAAGGTAATTCGTTAACCGAGGCGCTCGTTAACTGAGGGATCACTGTATGCATGCTTCCGTTGTGATTATATTTTTTGCAAGTGTTATTATACAATGCATGATAGTGTTACTTTAATTAACAATTATTATTGTTTTAATATTTCCTTTTTTTGGCTACATTGACATTTGGTTTGATTTAAGATAAATCTAATTGGTATAAGAGTATTTTTATCTGAAATCATAGTTTTTTTTAATATCCACTACTGTACCTTGGAATATTCTTAAGAATTGAATTAAATCATCTTGAGATAAATACACTACTCAATACTGTGTACTTATTATTACCAGTACTGACATGCCCTTACCCCTAATGTACGCTTCTGCACCAGTTAGAGTTGGTTCTGGTTCGTCAATCACATACATTAATTACCAGAATCAAGTACTGTATCTTGATATGATTTTAACATGTGATAGATGTTCCCAAGTGATGTGATTGTTTGATCCTCATTGTAGTACATTAATGAAGACAACAGCTGGGATCACTTATGCATTTCTCCCCCCAGGTTCCTGATGATAATTGTTTGTAATCATTTATCTATACTGTACTGTTCTGTACTTCCTCGTCTACAGCTGTATGCCCTGGAGTCATTGGTTGTTGTGAATATTAGGCATTACAGATGTTGCCTGAGATACAGAGATGGAATTTAACTTATTTTAACATGAATATTGGATATGCTATTGGTGGCAGGAAATGAAGTAACTTATTGATGTGTAAACATATCACTGAATTCTATTGAGTGGTCTTACTACTTGAACGTAAATGAGGAATTCACCCACCATGGTAGAAAAAGTAACCTGGGCAATTTTTAGAATTTTCTATTTAAATATAAGTAATGTTGTGACAATAATAAGAAGCTTTTAGGAATATATAAACCTTCAAATTGTTCCAGTATGTGAGAGAACTATTAAATAAGCACTTGGGGAGGGGGGGTGATGCATGTGTTCTGTCATTAGATGTGGAGACCAGTGTATATAATTGACTTTAATATAAGCTGCAGTAATCTTCTATGTTACGTATTGTAATCTTGATGCCCACAGTTCAGGATACTGTACTCGAAATATCTGTAGAAATGGTTTTTGCTTTGAGTGGTCTCAATGTGTGTGTGTAGGCACAGAATCAGATGTCCCTGTAGTTTCTTGGTAGAAGTATGTGTATGGTAATATATGGTGTTTTATGGAATGGTTGTTGCATATTTACTGAGGTGGGTGCTGCACATGTATGGTTGAGAGGCTCACCCACCTTGCCAAAGAAAGTCATGACATTAAAATGATTTGTCTAACTACTATAGCTGTTACTACTATTATTACTACTGTACTATTTATTACTACTGCTAATACAGTATCTCCATTAACCAGAATCCCTCAAACTCGGAACTCTCCGATAGCCAGAATTGAAATTTTCTCGGAAAATCGTTCCCAAAGCAAATTTCTGCTTTCGGAACAATTTTCCGGGGGGCACATTTTCCGGAAAATTCCGAAAACATTTTCCCGGTACCTGAAAAATTCCGGGGATGGGGTAGTTTTTTCCGGGTTTGAGAGATGAAAACCGAGTACATTTTCTGGAACTAACGAGAAAATTTTTCTGTTACCCGGAAAATTCTGGGACGAGTGATTTTTTTTTCCAGCTCCGAGAGAGTCGTCTCGTTACCCGGAAATCTCTCATTCCCGGAAGTGCTCTGCACTAATTGCTTCGTCGAACGGAGATATCACTGTACTGCTACTCCAGTACTACTTTACGACTACTACTACTACTAGTAACAGTACTACTTTACGACTACAACTATACTGTACTACGTATTTACTTTTTTGAACGTGGCCTCCAGTCTCCCCCAATAGCCACACCTTCACTGCCATTTTATTACCTTAAAATTTAATATCCTAATACTGTACGTAAGTAGCTACCCTAGCTGTGTTGAGCTAGTTGAGCCACAGATTTATGCGGCATTCAGTAACTGTTGCCTCATAGTCAATATCTGCGACTTGTCGGCTTTGTGGCCGAAGATCTCGTTCCCTGAGGCAGAGCAATGCAGACCTAAGGAGGGAGAAGGACAGTCAACATCACAACCAGGCTGTAACACAACTTCTGGGCTGCTGCTTCCATTCAGATAGCACCTCCACGAGTCTGGCATAGAAGCATCTTGCACTTGGTCCCATGCCACTAAAGGTTGTGGACACTAGAGGAGTGAAGCTGCATTGATCAACGTTCTGAATTCTCTCCCCATATGCCCTGATCTTGTCATTCTTGTTCCTCCTGTGTGCAGCATCAAGGGACAAGTTACAGTGACATGCGGCCATGGGGTAGAAAATCCTGATGTCAAAAAAGGCTCGCTGTTCCTGCGTCCAGAATCCTCGAGCACTGACATCCACATGGGGTAGAAAATCCTGATGTCAAAAAAGGCTCGCTGTTCCTGCGTCCAGAATCCTCGAGCACTGACATCCACACGGGCTTCGTTGGATGTGTCCTGTGATGGAGGTTCTCACCGTCTAATGGCAGATTTCCTTCAGTAAATTTGCTGTGAGATCCCTTACTTCGTCATGCCTCGTGCATACGAAGCCCCTCTTCTTGCACACCATAGCGTGGTCAATGTCATAGGAAGAGCCACACACGAATTGGGAGGGCAGACTTTCTACTGGCCTACTGTACCTTAGGGCAATAGCATCTGTGAATTTTTGTTTATTAAGGCTGAAACCTTTTGTCCTT